CTTCCTCTCCTCACCCCTCTTCAGTTCCAGCTCCGGGCATCGCCTTCGTACTCCCGTGTGACCCCTGTCTCTGTTATCTCAGACTCAGTTTCCTATGTCCTTGCTCTTGGTGCACCAAGATTGACCTCGGAAATATCCCTGCTCTGAGCTCGCCCTGGTCTGCGGCACCTCGGGAAGCCAAAGTTTCTGTGAGAGCCCTCAAAGACTGGCTGGGTTGTCATTTTGGGGCCAAACCCTGGCGTCAGCCCCTCCAGTTTTCCAGAGAGGTCACCCGGACGCTGCTGAGCGGCAGGGCTGAAACTGGACACCAAAGCTGGAGTCACCGCCAGCACTTTTGTCCTAAAGCTTTTGTGCCTGTGCACTGGCACCTGGTTTGGTTTGATCTATAATATACCTGCGTGTGTTTTGCAGCCTAATCTTGGAAGGGAAAGCTGGGAAAACATCTATATTGCCCCAGTTGCTGTCCTGCACCAGCTGGCTGTTTCCTGCCTGTTACGGGTCTGGTTTGACTGCGGGCAGGAGCGAGCAAGCCAGGTGGAAAGCACGAGCACTCTTCCCTTTTTCCCTTGGGTAAATCTGTAAAGCACTTTGGGTGAATCAGAGTGATCCCAGGTCTTCGTCAGGCTCTTTGGACCAAACTCTTGTGTTTTGAGGCCGGAGGTGTAGCTGCTGCTATGCTGAGTAGCCAGAACTAGTTTCTGCAGGACAAATCTGGCAGCCTGGCTGATGGAATGCTGCTCTCAAAGGTGTGTTTTATTTCTCCAGTTTGCTGTGAAACTTCACTTTAATCTGGTGAACGCACGATGGCTGCTTTGACATTGGGCTGCTGCTCATTAAACTGGTCGGGGATATGGAAACCGGCCAGTTGGGTCACCTCCAGCTCAGGTCCTGCCTCTTATGGGAGGAGCTGGGTGGAAAGGGCAGCTCCAAGAAGAGCTGGCTCCAAGTGCTGGCGCTTCCCCCAAGATGATCTTACTCCAGCTCGTTCCCTTGGGCTGTGGCTGTCGGTTGGATGTGTGTAATGAGGAGCGGGGCTGACCCCCACCAAGAGCTGCAAGGTGGATGTTGCAGGGCAGCCTTGGAGAGGTCCCATGCTGGCTCCAGGTTGCTTTTTCTGGGTTCTTTTGGCAAGGGAGAGCCCTTTTCTGGGTCTTTTAACTGTGGTGGCCTTCTGGGGTCTGAGCTTTTAAGGAGAAGTGATGAAGTGGTCTGTCCTGGAGCCCACAACCCAAGTGCTTTGCACCACTGTACCTCTATTTTGCAAGGGGTCTTCCCTGTAGACAGTTTCTTCCCAGCTTCATCCTGGTGCATGTAACACAAACCGCTGGGAAGAAAGTCTTGGCCAAGCAGAGTGTAGAGGATTTTCCTGTTTAAAACAAAGGAGAAGAGGATTCTTAGAGGAAGAATTAAGAAATCAAAAGAAACCGAAGAATTTATTTTCTTCATCAGGGACTGTAGTGATAGGACAAGGGTGAGTCACAGAATGGTTTGGGTTGGAAAGGACCTTAAGATCACCCAG